TTTATTTATTTATTTATTTATTCTTTTTTTTCTATTTATAGATTCTTTTGTTGTTGTTTGGCTCGAGTCATTGTTTTATAGGTCGATGACCTTTGATGACTCTCACTTTTCGTGAATAAAATTCATTCATTCATTCAGAGCTTCGCTATGCTTGGATATATCGTATTGTTCGTGTCAATATTACAGTACATACAGACGGCTAGTAATAGGATGGATAACCACTTACGAAGTCCTATACAATGTGCACAAGATTTTTGATAATTAAAATCATTCAGAAGAAATATTGTGTTAAGATTAAGTCTCGATAGATAATTGTCTTGATTCGATTCACGTATTTTGCTCATCAAGCAGTTAAGGATATAAAAATTACAGCTTAGCTACGTACCAAATTATAATCACCGGGAAGTCCAAAAATTGTATCAACGCCAATTTCTTTCAAACGCCGAAGTAAATATTCACCGATGTTTATCTTTTTTGATGACATGGCTTTTTTTTATTGATTGTATTTGATCTAAAAATCAAATGCAAGAAGTTCTTCAGAATTGCGCAAATTTTGACTGCTTCTGTTTTCATTGCTGCATACACACTTTTCATTGTTACACACTTTTTTAGCTACTTAAGAGAATCTGTATGATGGCATGATCAGATGTGTAACGCCTAAGGTACAACCAGATCCAATATATGCTTAGTCATACAACACAGTCATGTTTTGAAGACGTATTCGTCTTTCCACATAAGGTATTCCATGTATGGGCATTTTTCCGTCTCAACGCGTCGATAGAAAAGAAAAAGAACAGAACGGTGAGCATGTGCGAAAAGCGATCGATATTCCCCTATTTACTGGTACTTGAATCTAAATTCTCTGGACTATGTTCTGTGGCTACTATATTAGAGCACTAGCAAATAAGGAGATATCTCTTTTCGCACATGCATATCTTTCATTTCTATCGACTCGATGAAGCCCAAAAAATGTCCACACGTGGGATATCTTATGTGAAAAAAGATATATCCTTATTTGCTAGTTCTCTATTAGAGTTTTCTCTTTTATCGTATCTTTATCTTTTTCTTGATGTTGCAGGCAGATCATCCTTTCCTTTCTGCATGCATCCGTATGTCTGACATACAGATATTAGAGCTCTACCGTTTAGTGTATCTTTATCTGTTTCTTGATGTCGCATACAGATTATGCTTTCTTTTCTGTATGTATCCTTATATCTGACATACAGATATCTGCATGCGACATCAAGAAAAAGATAAAGATACGTTAAACGGTAGAGCTCTATTTGCATGCAACATCAAGCAAAGATAAAGATACAATAAAAGAGAAATATACGTATAAGACTTTACGCTTAATACTACACATGCATTGTTGCTTTTTAATAGAGCACCAGCAAATAAGGAGATATCTCTTTTCACACAAGCATATCTTTCTGTTCTCTTTCGTTTCAATCGACGTGCTGAGACAAAAAAATGTTCGTACACGAGATATCGTATGTGAAAAGAGATATCTCCTTATTTGCTAGTGCTCTAATGAATTATGATAGATGCAACTTGGCGATTTTTTTCTCTTCAAATTATCTCACTCGAAATATCACTGATCTAAGATTGCACAGTAAAAAATAATGTTCTATGACATATTCTACGACACCGAGAGCCTTTTTCGATACATTTCGCTGAGTATTTCTACCATAGAAAAAACAGTAGGAATTAAGTATTTTTGATCTCTTCTTTGATAAGTTCGTATTAACATAACAGAGTGCACTACGTAATGTCAGTGACCACAATGCTGCAGATTATTACAGATCTAGGATTAATATGCGTAGTCAAGGCCTCAAATTGGTCCTTCCTGTCAGAGAAAAAAGGTCAACAATATTAGAGAGGGATCTTTATCCACGAATAACGTGAATTCGTAACTGAAAGAACTTGAAAAGTCCGAAAATATTCTTATCAAAACTTTTGACACAGCAATTTTGATGCTGCGTTAGTAAAACCGTTCTAAGCAAAAAACCATCAAAGACTTAAACATTATTTTACTTCAGATGCAAATCTCCCATTGAGAAGATATCTTGTAGCTAGAAAGCATGACGTCGCCGTCTGTAGTATAAATTGCTTCTTAGTTTATTTCCTTAAGAAGTTAGAAAAAGTAAGTAGTTGGAGAAACTAATAAACAATGAAGACGAAGGAACAATAAAACAAATTTAGATGTGATGTGGTGTGATCTTTCGTTACGAGTATTTGTTAATGAATTAGTTATTTTTAATTACACTGTTTATACCGAAGAAACGTAATTTCGTTAAAAAATAAAATTGTATGTGCATGCTCTAGTTAACTTCATATAGTAAAGTTTAGCTAGTTCGATTTTAAGGAATAAAGAAAATTTACACCAGAGCTGCATGCATGTATTTTTAGTTTTTTAATTCAATAGCCATTATAAAATGCCAAAACTGCAAAAAGTCAAGTTCTTATTTAAAAAAAACAACAGATGTGACGAACATATACAACGATAAATGTACAAAAGTACAACAGTTCAAGTAGCATAAAAATAAGAAAAAGTATTTATCTTTTTCTTCTTTTATCTCCTCCGTGTCCCTCTCTTTCATCTTGTGTACTTCGTTTAGAAGACGACGATGTTGTAGTCGTAGGTGCTACACCATGTCTGGCTTCTTTCAAGAAACCAGACAATCCAAATGGATCTTCTTCTTCAGTTTGTTGAAACTGGACAGGTCCTTCACGTGTTGTAGTACGATCCGATCCTTTAAATCCACGATCCGGTTCAAATCTAAATAAAAAAACAGAAATATATTAAAAAAAAGCGACTACACTATCCAAACACAAACGAACCGTTTTGTTGCAGTGATCAACGCTTCTGTATCACCGAGAGTATCTTTAGCTGATTTGGATGGTTTGTAAATTTGTGATGCGACTGTTGTCGATGAACCCCACGGTTGATCATACACTCGATAATCATCATCATCGCCAAATCCACGACCAATACCCTTGAACAAAAATGGCAAATAATATTCACGTTTATGGAGTTTAAATAATATAATTCTTACCGATTGCATATTAAACAATCTTGCATCAAATTGTGCACCAGAAGCTCCGGCATTCGGTACTCCAAGTGCAATTTGTTCACTGATATCACGTTCTTTTGGACGATTACTAAAATTAAAGAGAACATACAGAAAATGAATTAAGAGGTTGATTATGTCGTCAAATTACCGTTTATCCGGTCCCGCTCGTTGAAGTGCGCTTTGTCTTTGTCTTTCTTTATGTCTTTCTTGGCGAATTTGATCACGTTCCATACCCTCTTCATCTTTTTTATCTAAACCACAATAATTATATTATAAATGGACTTCAATGAACGAAAAATTAACTAATTTACCTGCATTTCTAATTCCAGCTCGATCTGTTCTTGCATGATTAGCCAGATCTCGTAATCGTGCTTCTTTCTCTTCTTTTTGTTTCTTCGCCAACGTTGTCTCAACTTTCGCACGCATATCAACAGCTTCACGAGCCTAGAAGCAAACGAGTACACAAGATAAAAAATGCTTCTTCACAAATATAAAAGACAAAAATGTTTTTCATCACCGGGTCTTATAGCATGCATATAGGATCAGAAAGTTTAGATCTATTTTTGCTGAATTCCATAGTATTACATTAAATGAATTCTACAAATTACAAAATACTCACTTTTAAATCGGCTGTGTATAAAGCTTCGGCTAATTTTGCGAAATTTTCATTGATGGCTGTACTTTGTAGTCCACGTCCATCAGCTGCTAATCTTTTATCCAACGGAATCGTGAAACCTTTAGCGTTTTTCCAATTTGATATGCATGGCGGAATTTTCCAGTCTTGTTGTTCTTTTACAGTGACCTCAAATAAATATTTATTTACAAAAGATTATTCTAACGCAAAAGCATACACATACTTTTCTTGTTGGTGAATGCATAATCGGAGCTGGAGGTGAAGGCGGTCCACGAGGAATTTTTTTGTTTATTCTATTAAAACCAAAACAAATACAAGCCACTATAACGTTTTACAGAAAGAAAATGTATTACATACTTAAATCTTGGTGGTTCCATTGGATCTTTCTGAACTTCAACCATTTGAATAATACGTTGTTTAGCACCGGCATTAAATCCAGCGCCCTGTTGTGAAGGCGTGTATCTAGAAGTTGATTAAGCAATTGTCAATGAATATTACTGACTATTCATTAGAAGAACATACCGTATATATTGAACGGGTGCTTGTCTTTCAGCATGTTGAACAGGCAATGCAGCCGATACTTTTGTTGCAATCATTTTTTCTAATGCTTGACGAGTTTTTTCTGTTTTCTAAATAAAAAATAAGATTATTTGAAATTAATTTTATTCAAAGACAATTTTATGACTAATTTCACCTCTTTTAAATCATCCTCAGATGGTTTTTGTAATGATGGATCATCTTCTCGCACTTCAATTGGTAATAAGTCGGTAAATTTTGAGTATACAATCTGAAATATAAATTGATAATAATACGTTTTTTAAATCAGCTATTGAATAACTGACAATAACCCTTACTTTGCTTCCTTTAACATTTTGTTTAACAATAGCATCAAATTTTGGCTTTCCACTAGCATCCATTTGCAATTGCAATGCATTTGACGTTTGCTGTTTGTTTAAGCCCATATTCAACGGATGTTGGGCCATATGAATTTCAGGAAAGGCTCCACCATCACCAAAATTCTGAAATAATAAAATGAGCGAAAAATATAAGCATATTTCATGATAAAGAAACCTACCTCAGGTTTTCTTGGAACAAATCCTTGACGATGTCCATATGGTGGAACAGTGACTTTTGAAACAATCGACAGCTATAAATAGAAAAACAATCTTAATAAGATTATCTATGCCTGAATGAGTAATACGTACCTCTGACTTTTTTATTTTATGTATCTCATCATCTTCGCGATCATACACCGATAATGACGGTTGTGGTAAAACTCTAAGAAGAAAATATAGTTGGATTTTAATTTCAAAACAAAATTTGGGTACAAACTTACTGCGTTAAAGACATCGTATAAAAAATTGAGATTTCTAATAGTCTGAAATGAAGGATGATAATATAGGCAATGTTAATGTTCTGATGATGCTTGTTAGATCACGAAGGACGATTGTTGTGAACGAAATATGGAAATTCCGAGGTAAAATGGGCTACGACTATATATAATAAGTAATAGTGCAAATAGCTACAAGTTTATTTGCACAATTTTGCAATTTACGATCTTTTCGTTTCGGGACATCAATGATGATTCATTCTTGCTTCATTTTTGCTTCATTCTTACTTCATGGAGATCAAACTACTAGCAGTAATTACGCCGCAAAGGAGATTCTAACCACTGCACATTTATGTCACTAGTTTTTTCTGTCTAATAAATATTGTTATTCACTTTTTACTGACCGTCGATAGGTAAGCGCCTGTAGCAATCACAGTAATTTGAATAATGAAAGATCACGGTAAGCTTCCATTAAAATCTCTTCCATTCAACGTAAAACAATTTGACAATGGCGTTCAATGGGACAAGTTTTACTGAAAGCTTATCTTCACCATAGAGCAAAATGTTCACTAAAACATCAAGCTAAGCTAGATACAAAAGCTAACCACAAAAGTCTTCCACAATCAACGCGTCTAACTTATCTGGATCTCATTGAAATGGTATTTGCGCCTGCGACCATTTTTAGGTATGTTCTCTTAAAAGTAAAAGTCAAAATGAGTCGAAAAATAGTCTCTACACGTCTTTTACATTGATCAATCAAATGACTTAAATGGAGAAAGAGTGTAAATAATTAGCGTGCTTATTCTCAAATAAATGTCGCTATCAGTGGATTAAAACACGCCACTGTCAACGCTTGCCTATAGGTGCGTGAAAACATCTCAAAACATTCGATTGCTTTCACGTGAGTGTTGCCGAAGAACTATTGAAAATCGATGGACAATCATTTTTAAAAACTTGAGTTTAACCACGTCACGTTCGAAAAAGGGCATATCGCCGTATCCATGCACGAGGACACTTTTCGGAGTCCGTTACGTTTTATCAACATTGTAGCTCTGTGACAAAAGCCCATTAAGCGCTTGCAAACGTCTTATTTTAAACAGCAGACATTTTTCTTTAAATTCATAATTAAGCAGACGGGGTCTTTCCATTCAGATGCGTTCACCATCCTAGTCCACTTTCCTTGACGAAGTCCCCGGTGAATCCACGAAAAAACGTGAAATAGGGAGTTCTGAGGGATTTCCTGTAAAAAATGTCGATTACTGCTTGATTGAGTCAAAATTACTTAAAAAAGAATTACAGGGAACATTTTTCGCAAAGTGCTTATTCTAACTGAACTCGACCAATAGAATTCGTTGAAAAAATCCACTGCGAAAAATGTTCCCTGTAATTTATTTTTTAAGCAACTTTGACTCAATCAAGTCAAGGATAAGTTAAATATAGCATTAGAATCTCTTCTCGCTCAATAGAAACCAAAATCAGAGTAAAACTCCTGCTAAAGGACTGAAAGCAGTAATCGATATTTTTGACTTTTGTGATCGAGAAAAGAGGATGAAAACGAAGCGGGTCAAAAATATCTCTGATACCATTTCGTACAGCTCGACGAGTACTGCAAATGGAGGAAAAACAAAAAACTTCTACTGTATAGTTTTTGTGCTGTGAGGCCTGAAAATTGGCTGTTTTTAAAAAAGGGTCTTCAAAGATGGGCTGCATACTCAAAGAGGAAAGATAGATATCGACCTTATTCTTTTTTTATTGGGTTAATCAGCTCTTTAGCTTCATTTTTATCTATAGTGCAAGAACTTTTTGTTTTGTTTTATCTTCAGAAAAGGTGAAATACTGAATGGCATTTTTTCATTTTTGGCCATTTTGTGACAGCTGGTCTGCCATTGTAAAAGCACTAGAACAAGTTTTTAATATTATTATTTGTACTGCTCGAGGTGCTCTTTCATGTGGTATGTCCAATGGTGGTATAAGCTCTGTAAAGGCAGAGAAAAACAAGATCAAAGTTGCTTTATTAGAGGGAAAGTCGAAACTTGACATCCGTGAAAAGGCATGTAAAATATGACTTCTGAACGAGGGAATTATTGGGAGCGGAGATTTTCTGTAATTTTCTATGTCCTAGACGTATCGACAGTATCGACATTTTTGTGGCTACTATGTCATGTAATGGTGAGCGGACCTGGATGGAAACGCCCAACGCTGATAGTTTATTCGGTGTTTGTATACAAACTTCGAATTAATGTTGCAATTGCATGATCCGCGATCTATTTTAACGGTTTTAAATCAATAAATTTATCCACTATATCAGCATTTGCTTAATTATTAATTTAAAGAAACATGTTTGATCTTTAAGAGTACACTCTTCCTCATTTTAGAAAATGTTTTCATTCTTGACAGAAACATGATGCATGGTAGAGTAACATGATGGTCATGGCTCCGGTTGACTATATGCGAACACAATGCATGTATTCTAGAAACGCAGTAACTGGATCGTATTTTTATCAGACCACTTAAATGATGTGTAAAGTAGTTGTGTTGTTATCGGTAAAATTGCTCAGACTGAGGCAAATAACTTATGTGTAGTGAGGTTACCACCGAATATGGGGTATATTTCTCACCCTGTTGCTATACTGTATAAACCCATGGGAATTAGAAAATATGGCAGATTTGTGCATTAACAGAGAAGCTTAGCCTGTATGAATGATTCAGAGTTATATTTATCCGTATGTTAAGCACATGATCATTTTCTACCTTCAAGTATTAATTTGCGCGTTTAGCGTCTGGTTATAAATTTTATGGATAAAATTTGCATTTTTATATTCCATTAAGTATAGGTTGTACAATTCGTCATTCGTTAATTTGAGTTTTCTCAGCTCTGTATTTCTTCAATTACGGATGATACTCTTGTTTAATTTTGTTTTGACAGCATTTGCATTGCTATACACATCCTCAGAGCACTTTTTATAGTGGAATATTAAGAAAAAAGTGGCGTATTTTTTTAAAATAAATGCACTTCAGACGCCTTAGAGGCAACCTCATTTTTGATTAATAAGATATTTCCATGTAAAAGACGTGTCACTGTGCCTTACGAAGGTACCTGGATTTCAATTTTATGCACCAATAGAGTTTTTGTGAGACATCGTGGATATTTAGTCAAGGCATCTTGGATACATTCTCTCATGCAAATCAGATGTATTTTTAATGAAGAAAAGATGTTAGTCTTCTTGCTTGTTCGGGCCATAAAACATTATAAACTGTCGACTCTCCAACATCAAGAAGAAAGCACCATATCACTCAAGGAAAACTCTGTCTGATGCAGTTTTTGACGCTCTATCACGTGGAGTAAGTGTCCACATGCGTTATACCTTTGATTATGCGCCAATCCGTTGAAAGAAAAAAGTCTGGAAATCTTGCCAAAACGGGTAAGATACACCTTGCCCGATCGGACCATATTGCCTGTTCGGGCAAGACATCTTGTTGAAATAGACAATGTTGCCCGGTCGGGCCAGAAAGTGTGACAACGTACTGACAGTAACACCACTAAACTGTTACCAGTACCAGTATCATTTGTGCGGACAAGCACTAATGATACCGTTCCAATCTAACACATGAATTAATCAAATTAGTCTTGAGTCTAACATAATTAAGTAAACAAGCAACAGATTAAAAATAGTCTGTTCAAGAGTATAATAGTCAGTATAACAGACAAAGAAATAATATAGATAGGTTCTTTTCTGAAAATGTTATTTCTCCATTTCTCTTGCCAGAGACGTCTTGGCTAGGTGCCCGAATGATTTTATGTCTAACAAAAGTCTCGATGCATTTACAGTGCCGTGAATGCAACTACGTGATTTATCCATAACTGGTAGACGATTAAGTGCCTTGGGCGTAGATAGTGCCTTGTGACTCTTTGATGTGATGTCTTTCGAAAGCATCTAAGCTATTTTTATCAAAAGAATAATGATTTAGAGGTGTTTTGTCCAGAAATCAAGGCAAATAACAGAAAAAAAGATCAGAAAATGCACCTAACGTGCCTTCATTACGCGCGGTGGATGCATTTTGAAGCCATCAGGATAGTTTATCAAAACACTTTTTTTGGCAGCGAAGAGTTGCTAAAATTAAACTAAACGTCATCAAGACTATTTTTTCTAGGGTAGCTCAGAAACACTTTTTTACATATTTTGGTTTTCCTCTCAGCTCTCTGTTCATTATTTGACAAGGTGATCGTGTCCGTGAATTTTCATACGATAGATGTTTCGAGAAAACTAAAACCAGAACGGCCTAACGAAACGGGCTCTTTTCGGTATTTATAGTTTCCAAACATGCTCTTTTTGTTTCTCGAAGGTCGTTTGCTGTGTTTAGTACAGTCGAGAATGAAAATTTTTCAAGAAGTTCGCAAACAACACATCTCAGGTAGTGTATCGATTATCTCTTTGAAAAAGATTTTTAGCTCGATCGCATAAACTATGAGAAGAGAAGCGGATTTTTCGTACCTTATCAGCAGTGATGACGAGAAATGTGAGAGGAAAACGAAAGTGTGTAAGAGTGTATCTGATCTACTCTTAAAATAGCGAGTTTTGATGACGCTTAATTTGATTTTGGCAGCATTTTTCCAACTCTAGAGAATGCCCTAAAAGAGGGTATAATCTCATATGCTTAAGGACAAATCCTGCGAAAAAGATTTTATTAGGAAAACGGATGACAATTCTGTGTTTCCCAGATCATATATATTATTACAAACTTCTGGACGAATTTATTTAAGAAAACGTGAGCGTTATACAAGAACTAATAAGTTCATCAATTATATTTCTAATTGTCTAATATTCGAAAAAAATACTCCACCTAAAATAAAATTGGAGGATAGCACATTATAGGATAAAGCAAAAAGTATCTTTATTATTTACTTCTAACGTAGCATCTTCTGGTAAGTCGGTACAATGAACGGCATTTTTGACTTTATCTTTACCATATAAAGCGCGAAGTGTACGAGGACGAATGTGTCGAGCAATCTCCTTAAAACATATGAAAGCGGTATTGTGGACAAAACACTACTATCATGAGTAACGTACTGGATCATGTGGTCCACAAAAATCTCGAAAAACAATTGGTGCATTTTGTGCACGAATTTCAAGTACAATACAAGCACCAGACATCAATTCTTCAACTAGTTTCTAAATAGAATATAATGAGATGCATGAATTATACAGCCATGATAGAAGAATTCATGGCAGTCTTCTACGTTTGCAGAAGATTTTTGAGGCCAGCATGAAAACTTCAGAGCTTGCATCACTCGTCATCTTGAGTCAAATGGTATTAACAAAGTTTAAAAATCTCTTGGCATCATGCACTGTTAAAAAACAATGTTCTTCAGTTTTTCAAAGAACGAAAAAAATCATTTTTTTTTTAAAAACTGAAGAACAAATTTACGGTTCTTGAGAGCTGAAGAACAGAATTTAAGTTCTCTATTTGGGACAAATGAAGAACAAAATTCCCGTTGACTTTTCAGTTCTCTGAAAAACTGCAGAAGACAGTTTTTTAACAGTATCCTTGACGATCTTGGATAACGAGGAATCCACGTTTTACGCTTACTTGAGAAAGAAAAATTTGTAATTTTTTTGCTACCTTTCGTGAACCATGATGGCAAGAGATTTTTAAACTTTGTTAACATCATTCGACTCAGGATGACGAGCGATGCAAGCTTTGAAGTTTTCATGTTGGCTTCAAAAATCTTCTGCAAACGTGTTGAGGTGACGTTACTCTATTCTTCTACGTACTGGATATTCATGAACAACGCCCTTGTATACTTCAAGAAATTCTTCTGCATTGACTTTGTCTAAGCTGAACTAAAAGAAAACAGGTTTTTTTTTAAAAGGTCAACAACAGAGATGACTGAGATAGAAAATTGCAACGGTAGACGTTTGTATTATTCTACCTCACCACAATCTATCAGTCAAATAACTATCTTACTGTGCCAATTGCTGATATCTGAAAACCAGATAATAATATCTGATTGATTATCTGTCCAGCTCTTCCTAAAAATTCACATTTGTTCTGCCACTTTCAATAACTTGTCACATTTGGTTATTAATAAACTTACCATCAGCCACTGCATGCGGTTTTATAACACAACACGTGGAATCGTTATAACAGGCTGTATTGTTACCATATTTTGAGTCAAAGAAAAATGAAATTTCACGACTCGCATCAGTCGAAGAAGATGAGCCATGTAAAGCGTTCTTTGTTCCATCTATAAGTAAAGTTTGAAATATAGCGTTATTATGTAATTAATAGTCTTCACTTTATTCACCCGTTCCAAATCTTGCTCGAAGTGAATGAGAACTTTGTTCTTTCGCTTTTTGAGAATCTGTTGGTCCAATAATATTTCTCCATTTCGCTATCGCATCAGAACCCACAAGTTCTATGGCAACAACTGGACCACTTGTCATAAATTCCACTAAGCGACTAAAGCAACAAGAAATTATTATATCATTCTATAAAAAAAACAATTATTTTTCCATCAATTTACTTGAAAAAATCTTTATCTTTATGCTCAGAATAAAAATACATAACTTCATTTTGTGACATCTGAACCATTCTCATACGAGCGATTGTAAAACCGTTTTCATACACAGCGCTAATGACATCGCCCAAATACCGAACAGCATCCGGTTTGATGATGGCTAGTGTTCTATGCAGCAAAATAAGGATGACAAATGAGTTGAAACATGATGCTTGTCTAACAGAAAAATACCTTTCTTGGTTTTTTCCAACACATCTCGCTGTAAATGCATCACCAAAGTCGACAACTTTTAATGAGCGCGAAAAGACGTTGATCGTATTTCCGATAAAAAAATCACTTAATTTCATTGTATCAATTTTCGTTCGTTTTAAGAATGGTCGACGTATTTTCGTGTCGTACTAGAGATATAAGAAATATATAAAAGCGTACCTTGTACCTAAGCATTTATGATCACTAACCATTTCGATGCCATTGTCGTGCGGATAAAATAACACTTGAAATGTACGTGTAATGGATGCTTGTGGATCGTACCATTCTGCTAAGAAACAGTAACGTTCGTCAACGGTTTGCTGAAATGAGAAAAAGCAAGTGGTGATTGATATTATAGTTTTACTGAATCGATGTATGAAGATAGATACTCGATGACAGTTCGAGAAAAGTGAAAAAGATAGATAAAAAAGCACTATTTCTTCCGCAGTGTGCAAGGACACTTCCTCTAGAACAAAAATTTAGTCAACTATTTTATACAAAATTCTGATGTATGTCTTAAAAGTCTTTTAAAGCTTAAGTGCGACAAGGGCAATTTTGCTAAAGTAGAGAAAGTATACGAACCATGTTTTTTCAGATATTCGGTAGCGTTTTTCTATATGCTAGCAAGTGAGCGATATGAATATTTAAATTTGCCATATTAACAGTTTGAGATGAAAACCGCTGTTGCTTAGAGACACGTCAGTGAGCGACCACTTCTCTTTGTACACGTTAACAAATTCCAAACTTTGATTTATGAATTAGGTTTGGAAAATTCCTAAAATTGAATATCAGTGAGATATTAAAGGCGTAGATGTCGTAGTCATCTAATCTACACTTCAGCAGCACCGAAACTATGGTTGCGTAAAAAACTGTTGCTAGTGGCGATCAACGGTAGAAAATTTAACGACCACATATCGTTATTGTTACTTAAAGGATTTCTGATTTATTGGATGAGAAAGAATAAGGATTTCACCACTCTAAGTCTGCACTTTCTTACTTTTTGTTTTAGATTGCTGTTTGATAGAAAAAGTCAAAAACATATCACCGGATCGAAAAATTTCAAAAGCTTGTTCGGTCGAAACCGATTGCAGATTCGTTTTCTCCATGGTTGATTATGTGGTACGCAATAACTTTTGGATCGGGGTACTTTAGAAAAAAATTTTCCCATGGTCTTGCTCAAAAATTTTTCAGAATGTTACCGTATGGGACCAAAGGCAAAACGATGTCGAAAATTTTTTCTAAAGTACCCCGATCCAGAAGTTATCGCGTACCGCATAATCAACCATGGAGAAGACGAATCTGCAATCGGTTTTGACCGAACAAGCTTTTAAAATTTTTCGATCCGGTGATATGTATATTTACACTAAGCGAATGATTCTTCTTCATCTTGCGGGTATTTCTTAAAGATGCGAACACTCTCAAATTAAAATCTGAGTTAGCCAATCGATAGAGCTCGTCGAGCTGAGTATAGCAATCCCTAACGAACACCTTCCAAAAAAAGGAAAGAGACTAGGCTAATCAGCGTTATTCAGCCCTGAACATTAATAAGTTTCAATATACATCAGCTGCAAATCTGCCGTATCATAATTTGAAACCTCCGATGGTGTTAAATAACACTGAAACCAACCGAACTTCTTTGGGGCTCGATTTTACGAAAATCCAGCTCCAAAGAAGTTGCCCGGTACAACCATACGAGAGAGACTAGGGTAGAACAGAAAGAAAGCAGTATAGACCACATGTATAGATCCACTTTTACATGAGGAATCTGAAAATCACATTGATGAGATCGAAAAGTGAGATGGCAATAGTATCCCAATCGGCGCCCCAAAACAACACCCACATGATAAGTAAAAGATGTTTTTCTCAACTTTCCTACACTTATACGACTAACTACTTGATAAGATTAAATACTTGATTTGATAGCCCTTGAAATTCTCTACAAACTAAGCTATTCAAAATACCTAAACAGATGAGGCCACTCATCAAAGACATGCAAAAAACCGCGTTGCACTACAGAAAACAGCTGCAGACAGGCAGGAGATATCTTATTTTGCTCAGAATTCTTTGCTCGGTAAAACTGCAAGGTTTGCAAAAATTTCTGATCAAGAACCAAAGACTTGGTTTTCTAACCTTCAGATTTTCCAGAAATCCTTTATCAAGTTTTCTCAGAGAATGGCAATATGCACCTCGTCTGACAGAAAAATCTTCAGGCTACTCAAGTCAGTATTCAGATTGGTTTCAGCTTTTACTGAAAAAGAAGATAAATCAACCAATAATCTTTAAATTTGCCTTCAAACTGTCTTGACTGAAATGACAAATTTTGTCATTTCAGTCAAGAATTTTTTGAAAAATATGAAAAATCAATAAAAAAATATAATAATAATCTTGAGTGCTTTATCAAGACATTTTGAAGGCAAATTTGAAGATTCTTGGTTGAAATGACAAGAGACAAGGATCTTATAAGAAATATAAGAGGAAAGTCGACCAGTATAAGGGAACTGTATATTCTTTTCGATGCAAATATCGGCACATATAAAGACTCGATTATCTCTCGACAATACTCTTTTGAGATTGCAAAGAATTTCTGTGGACATCGATGTATAATATTCTGAGGTGATGTGATTTTCATCTTACGCTTCTTTCTAACTTTGTTATTTCATCCATTAATCATAACTAACGAAAAAGGTGATGAATTCGTACCATGGTCAGTGGAAACATACCTACTTCCAAACTCATTGTTTGCTCAACTAAGTATAGTGCAAACTGAGTATTTTCATTCAGTCCGCCCACCATTGTATGACATAGTAGCCACAAAAATGTCGATACTCTTTTCGTCTAGGACATAGAGAATTACATAAAATCCCCGCTCCCAACTAGATCGTGCAAAAGTTATATTTTATATGCCTTTTCACGGATGTCAAGTTTCGACTTTTCCTCTAATGAAGCAAAGTTGACCTTTTTTTCTGCAGTGACAGAGCACACTGCTGTTGGATATCGCACGTGAAAGAGAAGCGCAAGTAGTACAAGTACCAGTATTAGCAACTTCTACTACTCTTACAGGGGCACGGCAGCTGTCACAAAATGGCTGACAATGAGAAGACGGCATGGAGTATTTTATCTCTTTTGGACGCAGAACAAAATGAAAGTCCTTTTATTACACATGAAAATAACACAGAAGAGCTGTCTAATCTGTCCCTCACCTAAATCCGTAGCACCCATCGTACATAAAGAAACGAATCCATTTCTTGCTTGTGAAAATCGTCGTTTGTTCCATACTTCCTTTTAGTCTCGTCTATTACAAAATTTTATTCTCGTATTTACAAGCTATTACAATAGTTGTGTCAATTAGATAAGTGTACTATAAAAAAAAGTAATAATTGAACTACGTAGTTTTACAGCATTTAGAGTCAGTCGACCGTTGTTTCTTTAGTTCCGTTCCAAATGAGCCAGTTAAACGACGCGTTTGTCGATTGTAATAAAACAAACCAACACCAATTTGATCCTCTGGAACCGTTCCTAAGAAGAAGAGGTTATCACAGGTTATAATCAAAATAGTATTTTATCGAGTAACGGAAACTACAAGTATCACTCCTGCTAATAATCTATGAATTAAAAAAAATATCTTTACTAAATCGGGAAAATTTAACCACTCAAAAACAAATCATAAAATTATTTCAGATCTTATTTTGATTTATTCATATCATTATCTTTAAATATAACAGAAAAAATTCAATTTTATTGCAAGAAAACCAAAAAAAAGATAAAAAACAATAGCAGCGTCATGGCATTATCACACCACTATTTTGTACGTATGAGTAAGTACGTATGATTTTATAAGGAATGTCAAATATATTTTATAGTATTGTAAAATGAAAAAATTGATCGAAAAATAAATGTATATTTACATAAAAAAAACGTTATTGAAAAAGAATCTTGTTATTAGTTTCTAAATCTCTTTCTAAGTAGTGGATAAATAGAGCAAAAGCAGCAGAAAAATGTCATGAACACAATGGCCGATAACAATAATTACGAGCAACTTAATCAATCATAGCGAATGTTTTTAGTTTGTTCGACACATTGAACAGCTTATTGTTGATGACTGACGAGCAGAGGTGTTGATTGTTTGCTGATTCTGAGCAGCAGCAGAATTTGGTGTACGACGAGCAAGTGTACTGCCACACTGTATGCCAGAATACATTCGTAATGGATCAATACTACCTGAAACAAAGATAAAAAAGCAAAATATTGTAGAATTTTAAAGACTATAAGTATCACAAAACTGAAATAAAAGAGTTATTCACTTTTAAAAAAACAAATGAAATAGCACGAAAAAAGGGAATTCAGAACAACAAACAAATTGATACGAAGCAAGAAGAGCGCTGGCCAGAGGTGCAGAATCTACCGAAAACTTTTAAAAGCTGTGAAAATTTTTTGAAAAACCTTCCAATGGATAAAATGTGGAATTTTTCCACATAGAAAGATTTAAGAAATTTCCGAATAATAAGAAATAAATCGATAAAAGTCATTTCTAAATTTCAAGGGTAGAAAATTTTCCAAGGCTTTTACCGTTCGTGAGAAGTTTTCAAACTCACGGGTAGAGTCTGCACCTCTGACAAAGAAGAAACCAATAAAATTGCTGATTTCACATTCATTTTTATAAGCTACAAAAAATTCCTAAATATACCTACCTGATTCAATTTTCGTCAAAATGCTTTTAGCACAATTTATAAAACTTTCGGTCACATTTTCACTTGTCAAAGCACTTGTCTCAAGAAACATTAAGCCTAAAAATTATTTTCAATCATTTTTTTACATGTAAAAGAAGTTAGTCACTTCTTATCACTTACCATTTTCTAGGGCGAATTGACTAGCTTCTAAAAATGTTACTTGTCTGTCACTTTCTAAATCTTTTTTATTTCCACATAAAATAATAACAATATTTGGACTGGCTAATGTACGAGCATCAGATAGCCATTGCGTTAAGGCATTGTAACTTTCACGACTAAAAAGAAAAGACAATAATTAGTTGTTTTTAGTAAAGTATGGGTATTTCAAATATATAACCTAGTACAGAAGTGAGAGCTAAAAAAATTTCTATCAGGATTTTCACGCGAGAGTTCAAAAACTTTCAGGTTTCTTGAAAAAAATTTCGAGAGATAAAAAAGTATTTTTGTCGTTTCATCGATTCATTTATAATTCATAGTCGTTTCCATGTATTTTTTCTGTTTTCCGCATATCTTGACACATTTATCTGTTAATGGGCTTGTGTCATTGAATCACATGTTGATCCACGACCCAACAGTGCTATCGGAGCAAAACTCACTTACAGATATATATCATATGTATGATGTGAAGTGAAAACTTCTTGTGAACTATCGAAACTAATGAATCCAGAATCATCCAGAAAAGGGCTTTCTCTCTTTTCTCCTCTGTCGATGTGAACTATAATGCTGATCTGACAGTAAGTAAAAACAATATTAATTTTGCACCAGTTGAAATACCAGATTCGGGGAACACATTTTAATACAATTGATTTGAGAGAACATATTCAGATCATGATATAAATGCAATTATGGCAAAACGTTGGAGGATCATCCCAAACATACACATGTACGTTGAATCGTAGTAATCAATCAAAATCAGTTGAAAATGGCGGATCGGATATAAAAAGCATGAAATAATGACTGGAATTCGAGAGTCAGGTTTACTTGATGAAAAGTAAATAAATAAGGCTGTTACTGAAATCTGAGCGGCAATACTAGTACCCCCTGACAGGCTTCTTAAAAATTTCGTCGACTATTAAGGTAGCTTTCAGAATGTTCGAAGGAATAAGAGCAGTACACAAATTTTCATAGCAATTTTTGGTCGCATTGTGATAGTGGATAAAAAGAGACAATTATTTACCTTGTAATATCGTAAACCAACAAAGCTCCTGAAGCTCCACGATAATAACTGCGTGTCACCGCTCTAATAATACACAACACTTTATTGATACAAATGAACTTCAGACATTTTTCCCTCAGTTTTTTTACCGAAATCTTTCTTGTCCAGCAGTGTCCCATATTCTAAACAAAAACAGATAATAAAAGCATCTTTTCTTTTTACCTAAAAATATAAATCCTTACTGAAGTTTAACGTTTTTATTTCCAACATTAATAACTTTACTGCCAAATTCAGCTCCTATTGTGTGACTTGAATCATTTCTAACTGCAAATAGAAGACAGACAACAATTAGAAAAGGAAAAAAATTATAATTGATACTTACATTTTTGTTCGAGAAACTGATGTAATATACAGGATCTGAAATAAAAATCTGACTATGAATGAAATCTTTTTATCGATGAAAAAAGAGTAAAGCTACCTACTTTCCTGCACTAGCGCTACCAATAATCAAAAACTTAAACAAATATTCTAAAACAAAAGACGTAACGGACTTAAACGTTATGAAAAAGGTGTTTTTTGATCATTCTTACCATAAGATTCAGGAACCTGTGCCATCTTCAACACTGGTGGCTTTGATTAACTAAAAATTAATAGATAATATAATATATAGTGAAAGATATTGCATATGCATAGAGTCTCAGTAATATAGACCCTAAATGGATCGATCCGACATGATGTATAACAAGTGTAGGCGGAAAGACAGACATGCGAGAGAGGAGTGTTGTGTGCTCAAATATTTATGGTTAATCAAACAGCTAATAAGATTATTCGACGATAGCGACACTATTAATTTAAAATATGAGCTGGCTTCGATAGAGGGATTTTTAAACTATTTTCCTCATTTGCTACAGACATTTGAATGCACTTCATAGGTTTTTCAAAAGTTTTGAACGTAATCTTATTCTATAGGCATTTTATATTCAGTGGGGTAGAAGGCTGCTGTTAGGGTTACAAAACTCAGAAGTTACAAAATTCAATATGGTGTAACAGATATTTTGCGGTTTTTATTTTAACCGTCTTTTTTATCTAAGCGGTATTCTTTTAGAGTTCCAGCGGAGAAATTCTATTATAGTAAATATAAACTAAAACTATCGAAGACACAAAATACTTTTTACGAATCGAGAGAACCAAACTCATACACTAAGTTTGCGGTAAACTGCAAAATTTATTTCATTATATGATAAGTTACGCAACCGCCCAACGTTTTTTGTTTTAATTTTTTTGTTTTGATATAAGCCAGCTGACTTTTGTTCTGTTTTAATGATGGAAATAGGACACATATTGGAACTGCAGTACAGCTTTGGAAATATAGTCTCTATATGTGACAAAATATCGTTTCTGAATTTATTAATAAAAATCTGCAAGTGATCTTATATAAGGTAATCCCAAGAATGTTATCAGTTGCAGTTTTAATGAGAGCATGACATTTAGCCCTGAATTGCTAAAATGGTAACCAAAGTATCCTTAGAAGAAAATTTCTTTATAGCAACTCCTCGTTACGCATGAGTACTCGAGTTCCAGTAGGTAGTTTTGGAGAGTGTACCAGACTTTACATCGACTTTCTGCCAGTAGTACGGCACTTTCAGGACTAGTAGAACTCCCCACGATGATCACAAAAATCACTTTAAAAACTTTTCAAAATGACAGAACGAAGCCCTACGGGCGAGGACCGCGAAGGACTTACTAGCAAAATTGTTTTTGCTATATTGTTTTGCTAACAACACGGGTTTTCGCAGAAAAATCGAGACTCGGGGCGAAGGCTCCGAGAGACATTCCAGCAAACTTGTTTTTGCTATGACTTTGTCATTGCAAAAAATGGAAAGTTCAAACTGCTTTTACAAATACTACTCAACAATATGAACATCTTTTGTAGCCACAAGATTTTTTCCCAGTGTTTTGGTTTTTTAAAAAAAGTTGTACAATAATGTGATTTTTGGTGTTTTTCCAATTCAGATATCTTTATGAAGATAAAATGAAAATTTAACACCAATATATCATTTAGAATCCCCAATACATTGTCTCTTTAATGGTGAAAACAATGGACTTCAGCTGTTTTCTGAACTGAATAGTAGAGCAAACACTGACCACTAGTTTTCAATTTTCATCAACCTCTGCTCCCTCCTCTGACCCACTTTAAATTCTAGAGGCTGTCCCCATACCGAATGTTGATGTATATAATGAGTACTTCAAAAGCCTGAAATATGTATTTTATTTTCATCTATGAGAAAATTGATCTCAAAGTTAAGAAAAATTATATAATTGGATTTTTCAGAACTCACATAACAACACGGTTTTTTTCACAACTGGTAATTTCTGATGATCAATCAAGTTTTCTGTGAAAAACCCGTGTTGTTAGCAAAACAATATAGCAAAAACAATTTTGCTAGTAAGTCCTTCGCGGTCCTCGCCCGTGGGGCTTCGTTCTGTCATTTTGAAAAGTTTTTAAAGTGATTTTTGTGATCATCGTGGGGAGTTCTACTAGTCCTGAAAGTGCCGTACGATTGGCAGAAAGTCGATGTAAAGTCTGGTATACTCTCCAAAAAATGATCCTAGTACATTTCTTTAGAAAAGGTGAAAAAGATTAGATAGGCATGAATTCTTGACTTTTACAGAACGGATCTGTTTCGCAGTGTTATATTTTTGAGCCTTTGGAATTTGTAATTTTTTAGATGACGACGTCTATGCTTGAGAGATGTCATGTTTGCACTGCACCCTTGTCGACTTCACAACAAACGAGCACTTCGCTCAAAAACTCGTCGTTAAAATCCACTAAAAGAGGAAATGTGTCACAACAATTAAGGTAAAATACAATAATTTTTAATAGAATTATTTTTTGGGCTATAGAATTCTGTAATCATATAGAATATAAAAAAGACGTGTACTAGAATATCTTTGTGACAAAGAGTAAATTATTAACTTAACAAGTGTTTCTTTCGTTAACGATATGTGTGAAAAAACGATGCGCATGGCCCATTAGCTCAGTTGGTTAGAGCGTCGTGCTAATAACGCGAAGGTCGTCAGTTCGATCCTGACATGGGCCAATTTTTTCTTTTTCTGTACTGAATGAAATATGTGCATATTTTGCGAACTTTTCAGGTTTTGCTCTTAGAAATATGAGTGTTATCTGATGTCATAGGTATTAATAGAGCTCAGAGTGTGACAAATTATTCATTTTCACAATTACAGGTAGAGTTAATAAGGCGACGAGAAATTTGTACTAAACGAAGGAAAATACAAATTTTATTAGGCTCCAACACCGGAGAAAATATTTCAGGGATTTCTCCTGTTATACTCTTGAGCCTAGCCTCCAGCTAGACTTTCAGCTATAGGGTTATCAACTATTGCTGTTAGACGAGATATACATATTTATAACATGTACTTCTTTTACAACAAAAAAGTCTGAAATTATATTTATCTATACACGTATTGTGGTTGTTGAGTAATCGGTAGTGGATTCCAAACGATAGGCCGAAATGGTACGTAATGATTCGTAAGAAGAGTATTATTAAGTTTTGTTTCTGGATCTCGACGATATGGATTCGAAATGAGTGCTCTTGTAGGCTGATATGATGTATGACTCAATTCTGTCGATACTACTGGAGTTCTATTAATCCACTGTTCTGTTTTGTTTTGATGCGTTTGAGGTTGATTTACGTTCTCTTTTCCGATACCGATGTTATTATTTTTTTCCATCGTTATATACGCAGCTATAAACTCAGCAAAATCCAAATAATTGTTTCCATCTTTATCGAATATCAAAAATGTTTGCCTGGCTAATTTTTCTAATTCATTTTGTGTACGATTAAACGGTATCGATTCTAACATGGCACGAAATCGATGATAATTAATACGCCCACCTTGTGATAAAATTAAAAATTCACGATGTAATTCATCAATTTTTGACTCTTGTAAACCGGTTAATGTTGATAACTTTTTATAATCAAAATCACTCAGATATATTTCATCTGTTGTTTGTTGTTCCCGCATACTTGATGTAATAGTTGGTGAAACTAGTGAACAATTTCCGGTTGATTCTGATGCGGAATAATATTGTGAATTACTTTTAACGAGAGATCTCAATGTCATACTTCGCATAGTTGTTCGCAGACGATCAAAACGTTTTCGTCTTAAAGTTTCTGTTGTTGATGGAATTTGAGGCCGCTTACCGTTGTTAGAACCCATAACGTTAGTCAATCTATATTAAAATGTGTATAACTATGGTCACAAGATGGTTGTGATGAACATTTTGACCATTGGTAAATCACTGAAGCGAAACCAATAGGTCGGTGGAGAGGTGATTGCACACATATTCTTTTATATCTCCATGAAGAACACATATGAACTATAGAGTTGAGTTTTTATAACAAAACCACTAACCGTAAGTATATTGCGAGAACAATTAATATTTTTCAAGGTTGTTTTAAGACTTTTTACATATAGGAAAAAGATCGCATGCAATATTTTGAATAGTTACGACATGTCAATCAGAACATGTATCCTATGCATAAAAACAATAAATTAAGATAAATTTTTCTTGAGTATAAGAAGCAAAAGCGTTGTATGTTTAGCAATTTGACAAGAATATCATACTCAGAAAATACTATTAGTATAATTAGGATCAAAGTTAGCAATACTAGTGAAAATATGTATCTCGCTTTTGTTTCTAGCCGTTCTACTACTCTCAATGGCCAACAGACTACCTCTGTCAAAGGTTTGGAGACAGAATATATTAAGCAACTTCAAGAACAAATCTATTATTTGGAAATGGAATGTCTCTATTTGCGTGATCAATTGAATAAAAACCAATCACTTTTTGAACGATCACTTGATGATACCCGTCTTAAACAAGTTGAACAGGAACGTTCTGAATTGCAACGAAATTTGGTTCATACAGCAAATCATTACGATCAAATATCAAGTGAAAAACGAGGATTAACATTAGCATTAGAAGAATTAAGAAGTGAGTGGATATTATCCCATCGATGACATGTTTAGTATATACTTCTTCTTTTAGATAAATTTGATATTGAGAAACAAAATTTACTCGATGAATTAACAATGTTAAAACGAGCTAAAGAAACATTTGAAAATGATAAGCGTTTACGTGAACATGAATTAAGAGAAATACGAGATCGAACACGTACATCAGCGGATGAATTGAATAGTGCACAAGCAAAAGTTCGACTATTAGAACAACAAGTATATACCATTATTCCTAATATAAGATGATGATTGTAATTTGTATTTTATATTATATGTATAGCTTGAACAATCATTGAATCAAAACAAAGATTTGAGTGATGAATTGAGACATGTCAAATTTGAATCAAATGATTTGCAACGAAGTATTAATGAATTACAATTAGCCGATAGAGAAAAAGAACGTTTACAAGGCATTGTGGCTGAACTAGAAGCAAGTGTAGTGAATTTCAATCATTCATGCGTATATATTATTAATAGCTTTTAGAGAGAAACAAACAATCTTCGTCAACAATTAAAAACACAAGATTCACGATATAATGAAGCACATTTCTTACGAAATAAGGTAATTATCTTCAAATAAGTAAACTGCAAGCAGAATTGACTATGTTATGCTTCCTGTACTATAGTTGGCTGAAGAAAAAGGTACATTAATGAAAGAAATGACTCGATTAGAAACATTGACCAAGGAGTTACAGCGAGAAATGGAACAAGTATGTATTGACCTTTAGACATTGCTAATTATTATTTCTCATTCATGAAAACTTTCTTTCTAGTTACGTCTGTCTGCTCGTGATCGAACTGATGCATTACAAGCGAAAGATAAAGAAATTTTATCATTACGCAAAAAAGAACAAAATTTTCGAAATGCCATTGAAAATATGCAAATTAAATTAGATACAGAATCGACAAAAGGCAAAGATATGGATGGACAGGTTTTTGAAATTTCTAATTTTTTACTTAGAATCAATTACTAATGCATAATATTCTAATGAATTTTAGCTAAAACAAGTACAACGTCAATTGAATATTGAAATACAAAATGCTAATACAACAAAACGTGAAATGAATGATCTTGAATTGAAAAATGTTCGCTTACAAGATGAACTTAATATCTTACAACGAGATAAGGATAATTTAACATCATACATTGATTCATTACAACAGCGTGTAAGTAATATTACTATTTTTATTTGCTGTTAATATTATATTATTATTGTTAATTTAGCTTACAACTGAAGAAGATTCATCACTTAGTTTACGTAGTCAATTACAAGAACTTGAAGCACGTTTGAAAGAAATTGATAGACTCAAATCTATGGAAGATTTAATTCAATCTCAACGATGGGATGACATGTCTCAATTAGCTGAAACAATGAAAACCGTTAGTCATACAATGGCAAGAGCAACCAGTCCACCACGAACACGAAAACGTCTTGAATTACAATAACTTAGACATTGGTAATACTTCTTTTCTTTTTTTTTTATATTTTGCACACGCAGTTATATATATATATATGTTTTCCTATGTACTTCATATATGCTTATATTTTACTAATGACAGAAATTTTTAAGGTATTATTTTTGCGGGCTTTTTTTAACGTAAAAAAAGAAATTTTAATTTTAAATGTCGTTATTGTACGGTTTTCTTATCGAGTGTTGTAGTAATTTTTATAGGGAAAAATAAATTTTAATTCAAAATTCCTGTATATTTAGTCACTGAAAACATACCGAAAACATTTACAAAATTCGTTTTATTCTTGAATCAAAACATGTTTAGTTTGATTCAAAATGTCTTTTATTTTTTTAAACAGATTCGGGATATAAAATTGTGCTAAATAGATATATTACTATTGTGTGCATTTGAAATTCTAAATCAGAATAAAATATTTTTAAAGTTAAATTGTTTTCTATAAACAAATGATATTTTAAAAAACGTATAAATCTAGTTCAATTCTCGTTAATAATAAATTATGTCGTTTCATTTTTCGTTTAATCTCGGTATTTAACAATGGAATTAATCTTGATGCTTCTTCAACAGTTCTATTTGCCGAAGGTGATTTTTTTATTTGATCTGCCAATAGATTATCATCTGATGGATCAATATAAACAGCGTTTGCTGGATCTGTACCCATTGTACTTTCGATCGATGCTTGTTTATTCTCTTCAAGGTAATCTTTCATAATAATATCGTTAATCCATTGTTTTACACGCCACATTTTATATCGTTTTGTTGTTTGAGGATAATTTTGTTCTTTTAATAGTGAACTATTTAAAGGTTTTGAATAAGCTGGAACTAAATAAAGACTGAAAACTAATTTCAGATCAAATTTAAAAATTATCTTATTACTTACCTCGATTGCTACTGATATCTTCTTTCATGAAATGTAATAGACTACGAGATATATTTAAATTATTATTTTTATATCCAAGTGCCGTATGATATGAATTATTTTCAAATTCTGATAAATTCTTTGATCTTGCGGTTGTATACGGTCTCATATCTTCAACTGGTGAGGAAAATTGAGAATTATCAAATGGATGGATAAATTGAGGTTGATTTGTTTGAACTGTTCCATGTAAAGTAGATGGTCTTAAACAATTAGATGATTTAACACTACGAACAGTCATACGTCCAGAACTTGTAAATGGACGTTGAAATGACTATGAAAAAAATTATAATTCAAATTTCATTTGATGAATTAAAAATATTAATCTTACCGAATCTTTTGTTCTTACTGTTGAATTACCACTTTTTACTTCTCTTGGTCGTACAAAATTTTTCAATAGACTATCGGATGTTTCATCTTGTTTATTAGCAAGTTTTTGTGATTTTTTTAGTTCTTCTGCTTTTGTTGTTCTAACCGGTATTCTAGCAGAACGTTTGCTGATTGGTCTTGAATTAACTGGTCTTTTCAAATATTTTATATGTTCAGAAAATGGTGGACTTTTAATTGCTCGAGGATTATATGAAGAATCATCTTCTAGATTAAAGAAACCACTACTAAGATCATGAAATAGTTCTGAAAAATCTTGTTGTTGTTCATAGTGAGCATTTTCTTTTGGTATTTGATTAAGATGTCTTTGAAGTAAATAGGTATCAACAACAGGACGTTTCAAAGAAATTGACTGTCGACTATTAATAGCTGTACTTGTAACTATATGATCCGGATCGGAAACAGATAATCTAAATTTTGAATAAATATTTTTGATTATAGTTTTATTTCTGTTTTTATTACAAAGTATTAATTACCTAAACAATACCTTGAATGTGATATGAAATCTTCTTCATCATTTCTCTCCTCTTCCTCAGTGTCACTGTTGTTCAAAGTTGTTCTTGACACTGATAGTAATGATATATTAGTAAGAATAGAATTTGAACTATCCCATTTTTTCAAAGTTGTCTCTAAAAATTATTAAACTTTAGTTTACAATTTTTTCCTATAGCTAAATTTACCTTTGAATATTGGTACAAATGGTTTTAATTTTATTTTTTGCTGATATTCTCGTAACATTATTCCATTTCTCTTTTATAAAATTGAGAATAATGAATAATGAAAATAAAAGAATAATAAGAAACAAACAAACAATATATCGTGCAAAATTGAGATTATATTTGTATTTTCATCAATTCAATAATATTTTATGTTATTAATAAATGTATTTTTGAGCACATTTTTTTTTTTACTTTTGTTTAAAAACACTTATAGTTTTTGAAATAGAATTTTTCAACATATGTATGTGTGTAAAGAACAAGAAGATTTAACAACAGTTAGCTGACATGAAATAGAAAAAACATGCAAGTTTGAATAAAGTTGTAGTTTGAAAAAAAGAATGGAGAATCTATGTGTTATTCTCAATGATCAATGTCTTATCAAATGTTAATTTATCAATTACTTAACCAATACAATGCTGTTAGGAGCACAGCTACTTTTGTCCACTGTCTTAAAATTCTCACTAATGTTGAAAATGTATAGATTACCATCATAATTATTACTAATATTACGCACCAATTACTTCTTAATATCCAATAGGACCATTCTAGTAACGTTTTCCAGTTATATAAATCCAACAGTGTACTTAATAAATTCAATTTTTGAATGAATAATGCACCAGCAAGAAGTGTTGAGGCATTCGAATATTCTCTACATTTGAACAGAAAACGAACTATAAAACTGACGGATAACCAGAATACAATATTAATAATAATCATGAATCACTTGTTTTAAAAAAAACTGATAAAAAGGAATATTTTTTTGATTTATTAGATGTGCGCGGAAATTTTATTAAAATAATTCGTCAAAAAACAGATACTATTTCTCAAATGTTGCTCTTGTTCATTTTCGTTCTTCTAGTTAATTGGATCTACTCTAATACAAATCCTAACATTGATTCTTATTATTCTAAACATAATATTCCGATAAAACGTTATAATGTGAATGATACTACTCCTGAAAAATCATTTTTACAATCTCAACTAAATCAATCTGCATTCTATTTATTACGTTCATTTCCAACGATATCAACATTTTCAAATCGTCCATATCATGTGAAACCATGTGAAGATCCATTATTAACATTACCATTTTTACAAGGGACTACTCTAGAATCGATGACTCATTCTGAATGTAAATATACGGATTCAGAAGATTTATTACAATGTAAATTAGGTATCTACAGTAAATTGAATGTAGAAAAATACTCATCGAATGCTAAAGTAATGGTATTATGGATACAAGAATATAAACAAAATATGACATTTAATCGTGTTCTCGATTTATGTTTTTTAAATGAATTGAAAGAGCTAAAAGAATTTGCTCTATGTTTTTACAAACCACCTATTGCACAAAGTTTTTCACAAAAAGATAGATATATTCTAGATATACCAGCATTAGCAACCGTACTACCGAAAATAAAAACATTACTTATTTCAGGTAATTAGAATTTCTCTGCATTTCTCATGTTTCTAGATTAGTATTTATTATCCTCGCACGAGCAATATTATTGTCTTAAAATATCTATCAATGTCATCTTATAATATCAACAAATCTGAGAACCATGCTTCGTAAAATTTAATTTGAGATTGATCAACAGTATTTTGAAATGATTTCGATAGGATTTATACGAAAAGTAAAATGTGTAAAAAAAAATAGTATCACCCATGTCATCAGAACCGCTAAAATACCGCCGGTCACCGCCGAGTATAATGGGAGATTAACCTAATGGACATTTGAAACTACCGCACCGAACCGCGCGGTATACCGGTCAGTTGTACCGGCAGTATCAACCAGTATTTTATCAGTGTGAGCAAACAGTACAGGAGTTCGAATCTAGTTCTCAGCTTTCTTTTTTTTGCCGTGCGCCTGCAGCGCAATAAGGTTTCCAAACGGGAAAAACTTGACTCAAGTCAAAGTGCAAACTTCGACGAGTCTCCATAACCTGAAAGAGAAAGTTTAATCTGTAGAAAATCAAAGTTTTTTTACTTTTCTGCATTTCTTATATAAGCAAAACAAAAAGGTGATTGTGTCAAAACGGTTTACCGACGGCTTTTTCTTGTACTGCGGTCTGAAAACTACCGTGCGGTAACCGCCGGTAGAAGAAAAAACCGTCGCTAAACCGCTGAGTATACCGAGCGGTTCGGTCCAACCGGTGGTATTTCGTTGAACCACCGGTAACCGGCGTTATTCTCAACAAATGCGTGACATGGGCAGTTGATTAATCGTCAAACACTTTTGATGCATGAATAATTTAAAAATATTTGGCAAAAATTAAACACTCTTTCAAACCTCAAGTGTAAGAGTCATATTAAACAAAAAACAACTAAAAGCTAATTACTCTACTACTGTATTAGGGTTTGAGTTCAAAATGCCTAACAAAAAAAGAGAGTAGAAAAATGTTAACAAGTTTTGTTTTTCGTTAGATATGATTGATTACTATCAGTGACGTTCGTTTCACTTCTCTATCTATTTTTTAATGAGGTGCGAAGCAAAACCGCATTCTAGTAATAAACTGCGTCTTTTCTTTCTACGGGAAAAATGTGTCATTTTCTGTAACGATTATCTCAAAAACTATAGATGGTGCCTTAAAAATTGAATCGCGTGTACAAAGTGGTGTATCTGAATTAATAAATGAGCTATTTTGAGTCTTGGTAGATGTTCAAGTCCATAATTAGGACGTTCGAAAGTAGGTGATTCGACCGTTTGGGACTTGTCATTTTTTCGAAAAAAATGACAGTTAACCTGAGGTCATACATATTCAGTCGCATTTATAAGAGAATACATTGCCATACTATGTAATTCACTTCATGACCTTATATTTCTATTATAACCATAAAACACATTAGAACTAGTTGCATTCGCGTCTCTCGCAGAGCGTGAGCGCCCGCCAGTTTTTATTCTTTTATTTAAACTATTTTTAAAAAAATAAATACAATAAATTTATTCAATTGATCGTGATTAACACTCATTTTTACAACGTGTCAAAAAAGAAGCGTCTAAAAAATTACTGAAGATAAATGAAACAATATCATGCCACTAATGAATTGTATATTTCTAACGAGAAAAACCATTATATCAGAATACTTGTCCTTGGAATTTTCGAAATATCAAAGAAAATTGAAAACAATATAGGGTGTTCTTAAACAAAAAGCAACATGTTTACTATAAGTCGTCAAACAAGTGTACTCTCTTTATTAACATTATAGATGTTTCAATATGGCAGTCAATTGAAATACGTCAATTTGAATATTTGGAAAATTTGATTATATCTAGCCGTGGTGCAATGACATATCAACATTCTCCTTATTGTGCTGATTGTGAAAATTTTCATCCTCAAGCATTTACATCATTTCATTATTTAAAACACATGTCTAAATTAAAATATTATCTTTACCAATCATTGGCATCCGTAGATAATTGTCAACTTGATCTACTTCGACTACTTTACAATAGAGATTTTCAACGTTTGAAAGGATTTCCACAAACTATTGAAACTCTGGTCATTTATGAATACAATTTTAAACCTACGGATCCTCTATGTTCTGTTGGAAATCAATGTAAAAGTCGTTTTTGTCCGTTGTTATCGAGATGTGAAGAGTTACCGACGTACACATGTTTTTGTTTAACGGATTTAAAAAAAGATACATACGAAAAATGTGCCGAATTTGAAACACCCAAACCCATTTATTCACAACGATGTAAACAACAATCAACATGGTTTAAAGAAGTGAAATATTTTTTATGGAAACCAGTAATTTGTGTTGTGGTGTATGTAGGTGCGTCGCTACTAGTACTAATTGGTACAACGATATGGGTATATTTTGTGTCATCCAACAGATGAGAGCGCGTATGAAGTAAAAGACTGAAGAAAATCAAGACAGAAACATTGAGCAAGAACTCCTAAGATATCTTATATGAAAAATATGGCTATTGCTTGCTATGGATGATGTTCACAAGCGGGAGTGTGAGTTCTGTTATTGATATTGCAGTTTTATGATATAGGATGTATTAGTTGCACTTCTAAGCGTAATGTTTACAATTTTTATCGTGTTTTTGATTTCCATGACACCTTATTTCATTGTAATCAGCTAAACATGCCCAACAAAAACGTATCAATCATGCGAGACATACGCTGCTGAGATATCCTAAAAAAGCAAACATTTTCAATAAGTATTTCCCTTTTACTCAATATCCTCGTTGAATGACACGTTTCATATTTACAATTTGAACATGACATGTGATCTCAACCATCGGCTTTCTCGATATGCGATGAACACTTTGGAAATTTTTTGGTATTCTGATTGATCCGGCGATGTGTCTGTTTCAATGCATCACTGTAAATTACTCTTGACAAGTTAGATCTTCGTGCCATTCTGCTTTATGATCAAAGTATACTTTTTTCCGACATTTAACGCATTTGACTGTGTAATAATAATTATCATTTCCATGATCATTTAATTGACTAGAACCGCAGCTATGAGTACATTCGGTCAGCAGCCATGAAATAAATTCGGTCATTTGTTCGAGACTTCGTTGAAAGTAGTAATGATCATAACGTTCATATAAATGTCTAATACCGTGATATTCAAATATTGCTGAATAGTTTATCTCAGGACGTTGAACATTGTCTGTACACGTTTTTCACATGATTATATAAGCAAAAGTCATAAATAGATTAATTTCGGTGTCTACATTCTGAACTGTATTTCGTGATAAAATCATCTTGTATGTTCGTTTCTTAACAGACTTGATATTCATAAGGTTTTGAAGGGCTGAAAAACTTTAGCTTATAATTAGATCGGTTTACTTTTTATAGCTTAAAAACTATGCTGTCTGCTTTTGATTATGGATTGCGGCCATTATTAGTAAAAGAACTAGTATGGCCTAGAACGAACAAAAGTTTTACATCAATGTTTGTCTTAGAATAGTTCTCTGTTGCTGTTCACTGGGGCCTATTTTTCCAAAATAAAATGTGTTTTAACAAATGTATATAACACGAGACACTCTGACATAAATTGTTACCTTGACGAGTGATGTATGCTTACTTACTGAAAGAAGTCATGTTTTGCAAACTTCCAAACAATATGTTTCCGTTTCTCTTTTGTAAATTATATTGTGTTTACTTAATTGAGCCGATTTTCATCCTTTAAGCGATGCAAACTTTATTTATGCCTCCCCTCTATAATAGAAGAGCACCATATTTTTCAACTCAAGTCGATTTAAAAAGTTTAAAGAAAGTTTGTTGACTTATTCATAATGTAAGAATTTTTCAACTACTGATATTCAAATTTAGTTTAAACTCTAATTAAAATTCAAGGTAACGATAAAGTGTAACATATAATCGATTTAAAACACATTACTCATTTTTAAGCAATAAAGTATACAAAACTCAATTAAAAGGTTAAAGAAGGTTAAGAATTAAGGTTGAGCAACAATACGTTGTTGACAATAGTATAATCAAGCAACAATTAAAATCTTTAATGAACATCATATATTAGATGTTTGAATAATGTATGCTCGCGACGCCAACATTTTTTCGTATGTTTTGGTACCTTTCCCCCATGAGATACTTTCTTTTAATGTCCTTCTTGATAGTTCTTTGTAGCGTTCCGTATGTCAGGCCTCATATTATTTTGTCCAATGCGAGACTCGATAAAACACAAAAGCTGTTCATTCGTCTGACCGTGTTGAAGAGCAAGCTGAAAACGAAAAACGAAGTTTAAAAAATATGCTAATATTTGGCGGGCTTTACTTTGCTTGTTTTGAATCAGAGCTGAATCTAAGAGTCACAGAAACATTAATAAAACCGGCCGTACAAAATTTCTTTTTCAATCTTTGGCTTTCTCTTGGAAACCAGGTTAGAAAACATTAAATTTTTGACAAATTTGTAACGCCTTTCTGTCTACGTCTTTATAAAAAGACTCTTCGAATGACTGATAAACTATTGACTTCTTTTTAACTATTAACAAAGGCTAAAAGGAGTATGTGTTTTAAATTTATCGTAGAAACAGAATACTATAGCGTATCAACATAGATGTGAGCAAAGACAAAAGCATACGTCGAACAACGTACGCAAATTTTGTTAGCTAGCGAATACTTGATGCAAACAAATTGCTACTTATAACTCACTGTTTATTATATTATGTGGTAGCTGGAAAATTCCTTTGCATTTATTATACTAATATCACAGATACAATGTTGTTATATGTATAACACACTAATAAATATTATATACAAAAAGAAATAAAGAGAAAAAGCAAAACGAAAACACTAATGATAGGCTACCATTTGAGAAAAAACAATAATAACAAATATTTCTGGCTTAGAAAAAGAGATATAAATTGCACAATAAAAAACTTATATACAAATACCTTGGCTTAGAAAAATATTTAATTATAACACTAAATAAAATCACAGACAAATTCATCACAAAGATATCAGGAGAAGAAACTCACAAGAAAAAAATGAATACAAAAAAAAGTCACACAAAAATACATGAGAGAAAAATAATTCAATATGTAATAGAACTACAGTATTCTATGTTGTAAAATGACTTGTGAACCATTCAGGAAGAAACTGATATTGTTTCTCATCTGACTTAAGCCATTTAATGAGTTTTCCTTTTGGTGAATAGTAAAATAAATAGACATTTCTAAATAGAAAAGCAATTTCTTGACCGCTCGCAATTCGTGATCAGCTCGAAGTCCTCTATTCAACGGTGTATAATATGTTCGAAAATAAATTTCACTCGAACTTTGAATTATGTGCATCTTAAGTACCTCCCAAAAAGTCAGAATGTCTATATTTAGCGATTTTCTGGTTTAGGATTCCCGCAGACAGTCGATTGTTTTTTCAGCAAAATTCACATTTTTGAAATAAGCACATCAACGCGCGGTGTGGAGTGTGTTCTTTCAGCATGCTCATCATTTCCTATGCAGGTACTCTATGAAAGTTTCGAAAGAGTTTTTCAGACCAGGTTTCTTTCTCACATCATTGCAAAATACGTGCTAATAAATTGTTTGATGCATACAGTGCAGTATGGTTGACGAGGGAATGTTCCCAACTGTCAAGTCGCTTTCGGGCCGAAATCGATTTGACAGTTGGGAACGTTCTCTCATGAGTTGATTTAAAATTTTTCTTTTATTCTGAAGATTTTAAACCACTAGATGTAATCAGTAATTTTTATAGGAGGACCGTATCATAAAAAACTTAAGTCTGACTTAAGTCAAAATTTGGACTTAAGTCTCTGTCACCAACTTAAGTCTTTTCGTAATACGGTTTGAGTCCGCGGACTTAAGTCGGTCTTAAACTTAGACTTAAATCATGACTTAAGTCGATGACTTAAGTTTTTTCGTAATACGACCTCCAGAGAGGAAACTCTAAAATAGCCTCTACCAAACTTTAGACTTGAGTGTCCATATTAGTTTAAAAGAACTGTTTTTCACATCTGTCAAGTAACATCGGCTAAATTCGGGTTAAATTCCAAGCTTATATATTGGCTCGTCTAGATAATTTTTTCTCAGTTTATTGCGATACTTTCATGCGCAAGGATAACGGCAAATAAGTTTTGTAAAAAAATGACGTTAACAGCTCCCTTTGCATTTTCTCATACTTTTTTGTTACTTATTAGACCTCGCAAAATGCTTTTTTCGTGGCATCTACCGTAATGTATCATGTCTCATTTCTTTCACGCCAGCCACTTGTGCAGTATATATAATTTAGTTTTCAGTCTATCAGAAAAGAGGGTCGAAATGAATTCTTTTTCTTACATGACTTATCCTATTTTCTTCTAGGATAATTTAAAATTTGAAATGACTTACTTATCATAGTCTGAATAATCTGCAGTAACTGTTTTATGAACAAATGCACAAAATTCATTCAAAAACGATATAAATGAACTAGCGCTCCATGTTTTCTAAAAAGGATAAAAAGAAATTTTAGACAAAAGAAGTATGATCTTAGTAGGCATATTTTTCATCATATGTTGACTCTTAACTTACTGCTCTTTTCTCAATGTCTTTGAGTGATACTGGTTGCAAGGCTTCAACAATTCCGGATTCATTTCGAAATCCAAGTAGCATATGTTCTATACCGGCTAGAAAACATTGTTGCCACCATTTTGCATATTTTCGTGATCTAGACAAGACAAAGATTAACAGGTTTCTCTTTTCTTCGTACACCACTCAAACGCTACTCACGATTCCGTATGTAAATCAAGTATATTTCTTGCGAAAACAACTTTAATTTCAACATAATTTACTTGTTTATTATTACAACTATCTAACTGAGAATCAACTGTACACGCATCTATTTCACTACCATATACCAGTGTATAAGTACCAAGTGTTGCTTGATTAATAGATGAAAATATTTTTTTTGGTGACGGAACAATATCTGGCTTTTCTAGAAAATTTATAAAAGCAGAAGTTTTATGTTGAATAACAACAACAGAAAGAGAATAAGAACAACATACTTTTCGATACGTAGTCTTCAAATTTATGTCCCCAGTAACACATTCGTTTTTCTACAGCAGATTGTGAATTTTCAATATTCAATTCTGTTTCAGTATGAAATACTGTAATAAAATGGCAACCTTTCCATCGAATAACACCAATGCGCCAATCAACTGTATGATCAAATAATGATTGCATTATTTTACGTAATGTGCCCCGCCATGACAGAAATTGAAATGTAAATCTAAATACAATAGAAGTTAAATTGGAGACTAACCATGCTGTACAAAGAATGGAAAGTTGACTGACTGAAATGACAAGTTAGAACATTCATAAAACAAAATTTTATCGGGAAATTCAAACAATAGAAGAAGACCTTACGAAGATTAGTAGCAGGGATAATAGGAAAAATGCTTTATCATGATGTTAATAGTGTTGAACTCGCTTTTTCCATTTGAAATTTCATACAGATCTTAGTAAGGCAAATCGTGTTCATATTTTCCCCTTTTTTGAAATCTTATTTTATATATTTAGATATTAGTTATATAATATCTTTCCCTTAAAAAATAACTTTTCCATCCTACAAATTCTTACGAAAGCAAAACATACTAGCTCTAAAAGTCTCAAAGGTTTAAAATTACCCGCGAAAAATATCCTGCTTACGCTACTAGTTGTTCAAAGTCTTCATATTCCTAATTTCAGAAATCGTATTTTTATATTTTCATTCTGTGAATGTTTATCGCATTATTCGTCATACCTCTGTCGCAGTTCTTAAACTGATGAGTTTTTCTGCGTTTTTTTAATCATTCTTTATCTATTGCTGTTTCTTCCAGTAAAACAACTACAGTTCTTTCTTTAATAGAATTTTAGCAGATTAAAAGTTTTCCATCGTCTCTCGTGTATATGCTCATTATAAAAATGTTTAAACTATACTGTAATTTGTTTCATATTTTATCATTTTTTTTTCTATTGATCTACTAGCATATATTTACTTTTATTATAAACTTAACCTGTTTTTAAATACGTAATCTGATATAATAATTGTCAAAATAAATTAAATTAGATACTTTGACAAACTGAAAACCCGCTTAAGTGTAACCGCTAGGTACGAAAAAATATTAGTACTAACGATCGACAAATCTAGAAATCTAATAAACATCGTTATTGAGCACTATTACAGATAAAACTGCAGTTCTCTAGTCACTTCTCCAGAGCTTAATGAACTTATGCTAAGTTCACAAGCTTTTAGCAAGAATGTATATTTGCTATAATATAATTTAAGTCACAGCTCTGCTGTAGTACTGCATTGTAGTATCACGTGCCAATTATTTCATACGACAACGCTTTCGAAAATATGCTCAACTTTTGCTGCTTCTTGTAGATTAAATAAAACGTATATCGAAAAACAAAATTCAGGTATGTCGTTTGTAACTCTTAACACTTAATGGACGGGAAACGTATTTCCACATGTTTTTTCACACAGACGTACAAAATATACCCGTCCATTAAGTGTTAAGTATAATGACGGTACCAATGATCTTCCCGTGAGGATCTTTCCAGCGATGACTTGAAATCTAATCAGAGACTCTCGTGACTTATTGGCTTACAGGTCTGATTGGAATCCTTCTCTAATACTCTACATCCGGCTAGTCCTCTGTCTAGAGCTGCGATTGATGACTAATAACGGGATGGGTGACCGTGTCAGAAGCTTGCTAGCTTTAGAGGAAATATCGAGCTAATGCCATTCAGCAGCATCCTACACCGGTAACGCTAATCGTAAGACAGGGTATTCTTCCTCCTTCTTCCTCTTACACTGAATGTAAAGATTTCCAATGCTATCTTTAAGAATGCCTATTTACATTCTAGCGAAGACAGACATATAACATGTGAAGATAGCAACATACACTGATAAGTAGCACGTGATCATCTGATCATTTAATCATTAATCATGTTTACATTGTAATGAATAAGCTGTGCTCTTTGCACGAAAAACTAACCCCTGTGACACAATTAGTTATCTCGCAGGAAAGGACAGCAGTTCTTGAAAATCTATTCATCTTCTCATTATACACTATTTACAGCATATACCGGAAAAATAACTTCAAACGTGTAATTTACATTAGTTGGACATTCGAAACAACTTTTTCTCAGACAGATACGATCAGACATGAATGAGACCAAGTAGAGAGAAAATATGGTATGAAAGACGAATCTTTTTATGGTAACAAGTGTAAGTCTTCCAAGTTCCATTCGATCAGTTTAATTAGAAAGAGTTGTCTTTTTTAAAATATTTTACCGCAGTTGATATGACAAAGAAGTTTCTTTTCCACTTACTTTCCATTGACAAACACTTCACTTTTGTGGTTGACTATCCACCACATTAATGATTCTAATGATGCCGGGGGTTCTTTGGCTTCTAAATACTCAGCTCCAATATTCAAATCATATCCGACTTTCTTTGCTTCTAATGGTGCTAACAAACGTTTCAGATAACGGTAATCTTCTCGACAACGGTGACGATTAGCGCGATTAGCCGTTGAAAAATACCCAATTTCTTTTTGAACAAATGAAACACGTTTTGTGTGATATTTTCTCCAGAATTCAACAGGCATCGTTGTTGAGGATAAGTATGTGTCAGGAAATTGTGCACATGGAATAAATAAAATTGGTGGACGTTCTGAATCCATGTCCAGTGGTAATTGAATGGATTCTGATACTATTGGTAGATTAGTTAGAATTTTATCATGACGATATGATTGATCTTGTTTTTTATGTCTTTTTTCGTTTTGTTGATTTATGTTGAGTAAATATTGTTTAAACTGGCAGTTTTTTCCTTGTTTTTCAGTCCATTCACTATTAACCTCGATAGCATTATCTTGACCTGAGGCAGAGGTAATCGGTGGAGCTGGTGATAGTAAATCTTGGCAATTATGAAACAGTTTTGTATGTACATTTTGATCTTTTGACGAAAACTCTGTTGCCGGACCATCGTTATCCACATCTTTGAACTCTCGCTGTTTAAGATGATGTCTATCAGATTTGGATTTTTGTTCAATAGTATTTTTGATATCGCTGAAAACTGTTAGTCGTTTCTTTTCGTCGATTGCCGAAAAGTGACCTGAAACATTCAACTGAACACCAACACATGGTGATTTGGGTATTTGCGCTGAAGTCAGTGATAGATTTGTGAGTATGTGGGGAGGTGGCAGTTCACCTGTAAAATAACCACGAGGACGCCCCCGACCAGAACAATCAAAGAAATGGGCTGTGTTAAACATAACGTTGATGTTCAAACTAGCAATTATCTAAAGAAAGAAAATAACAATACAGTAGTCCCTGGTGATATATGTGTATATGTATACGTTCATACACGAGGAAAAAGACTAAAATCTCCGGCAGTCTTTTAGAATCCATTAAAACCTATACTTTTCTCTTTTGGTTGTATATCCAAGATGCTCTTTAAATTTTTCTTTCTCTCATTTAAACATTTCTCTTAAATTGTTTATGAAATATCTATCTGGAAAACAAAAGTTGAGATATATTTTCAACATAAAAAAATGTATTCAATCGCTCTCTGAAATCATTTGAGAAAAAGAACACTTTCCTACTCGGTGTTTCATACTGAAAGCAAAGAAATGGTTTACTTTAATCAGTTTAGTCAGTTTAATGTTACAGCAGATTTAAAAAAATCATCTGTATTGACGTCTTGCTGGACATATCAGTTATGAAAAGTGAGAAAACTTCGTTTTTTACTTAGGCATCTTCACGAGTAATTTACTTTAACGTTCAACAGAGGGGAGCGAGTACGAGTATACTCCAGTACACAACTCCTAGTATTCGTACTCGGGAATTTTTTTAACGAGTATTCCAAAAAGTACTTGAGTACCTCCCAAAAAATTGGTGACCTCTTTTTTACTATTGACGTATCGAAAAATCGGTTTTCTTCGGAATCACCAGCTTCTTCTGAAAAATTTTATACTCGAGTACTTTTCAGAAAATACTCGTACTCAGCCCTTCGTGTACTCGCCCATCTCTGATATCCAACTTTTAAATGCGTTTATGTGCGTCAACTCAAAGGACCAGTCCTGGCCACTACACTCATGAAAGACCATATGATAATATTAGAGTTCATTAGAATTTAACAATAAAAATTTAATGCCGTAGATTAAGTCAGTTTATGATGTGACATAATTTACAAGCAAAAAACTATCATAACAAGAAGTTTTCACAGTACAAGTTGACGGAATCAAATAATCAGCGAAGAAAGGGCATCAAAATACTTGGTCAACCGTATGTAGTCTGTCTCAAGAGTCTGAGAAACTTTCGGAAGTTCTATTGAGTTGAGTTTATCCTCGCAATTAATGTTGAAATGAGATTTTGACTAATATTGCTTGCTTCATATTGTGGCAACAGGAAATTGCCACAAATTTAGAACTGCACTGTAGTGTATTTTAGAAAGAGTATCCTTGACGGACATTTCGAGACGCGTGAACAAGTTAATGATTTTTCCAACATAGATTCTGGCAGGAAGCACTTCATGGCTACATTTTGCAAAGACCTTCTTTTTAGTTCTTCTGAACTATGTTCAGAATATATATACAATATTATATACAATATATAATTATATTATACAATTTTCGGTTCTAGAACGACTCTGATTTTGGTACTGTACTTTTTGAGCCGTAGAAGAACTGCTGTTTCCGTTTTTAACTAGAAACCAGAACCAAATATTCCTACAAAAGAAAAAATTCTTTTCACGTTTTGATTTTTAAAGTCAACATTTAATTGAGACTACTGCGCCGATTTCAATAGTTCGAAGCCTCTCAGAAGAGATACAAATCCATATTTTACAATGTATCTCGTTTAATCAATTAAGAAGTATCTCTTTTGAGATGTGGTCCAATAGTTGTATAGTTTCTGACAGATCTTTCTTAAAAATGAGACTGGGCATTTGTATATAGCACGTTGTTATAGCCAAGGGACTGAATGAATAGAACGTTACTCCGTAGTGAATGTACTTGGGCCTCAGTACCTGGAAGAAGTATTTTGTTTCCGTAATAAAGCTGGTACTAGCCTTCATGCCAAAAGTAAATTTACTTGTAAGCAAGTGCCTAACTTGACAAGTAGTCGAGTAACACTGCAAATACTTCCACAAAGTACTTCATAAGTAAGAGAACTAGGTATTGCAACCTTGGAGAGATACTTGTAAAAAGTTCATGGCAAGTAAGCGGTTTTGAGAATACTTGCCGATTATTCCAAGTAGTTAAGTGCTCACGCATCACCCGCTTTAGCAGATCAAAACTGCTGTTACTGGTAACGCCTCAATGACTCGCAGTCATCCACTTTTGTAGATAGTCCCACTTATAACAATGAATGACCGGTCACCCAGTAGAACAACAGTTTTGATCTGCTAAAGTGGGTGTTGGGTAATAAACAAAGGAAATTGATCCACCTTTCTGGATGCACAATACAGAAAGTGAATGGCATGCTCACTCATTTTACGGATGTACAAGTGTAGTCATATCATGTATATTATTACTGTGTGGTTTAGCCACTGTTTTAAAAAAAGCTAATTCGTCGATAACTGACATTGCCGTATACATTTGACTCTCGAATTTTGAATACATTCAATAAGCATTCGAGTATATTCAATTTACATATGGCTTTCGTAAAATTGAAAACTATGTTCCTAAAACTTGAGCTTCGGTTTCTCATTGATCGATTGGTAAACGTTATGTTTTCGTTTTAGTCAGTTCTGTTCAAATAGAGGTCACCACTAACAAACAAATGATCTGTTGAATTCTTGGAGAGTATCTAAATCTTTTTCTTGAAGTGGTAACAGAGAAAAATAGCCATATTGCTGAGAACTTTATATATTCTTCTAAAAGTTTTGAAATCTTTCATGGAACTATGATCCGGAAACTAGAAGAAAGAAATTGCTGCCAAAAGAAATTGCCGGAAATGGCACAATCATTTCAGATTTTCAATCAATTAAATGAATTTATTGATTGTCCCTTGATTAGTCTCTCAAGAAGATGTTTTCTTTTAGCCAAAAAAGACAGCAGTTGCAATTTCGTGCAGTTCTTCCTGGGATTGAAACTGGACATCCGTGAATCTTCTATCCACAGCCGTTAGCTCTCCAAACCATGCTTTCCCCGCCCAAAATTTACGAAATGGACTCTAAAAAGCAGACTCCAATCTTTTTAGAATAACCTAAATCTCAACCTTTTTAATTTTAAGTTCAGTCAGTAACCATGTCCGCCATTGTGAGCATCTATTTTTTTATAGATAGCTCTAATTCCTTGTGATCCTTAAATTTTAGGATAGGCTTTAAGGATGTTTATTTTCGACCTCTTGCTCGAACACTCTATCTTTCATTATGACTGATCGTGTCCTAGCAACTTCTCTACTTCTTAGACATTAATAAAGTTTGAAGAATCATATCAAAAAATTAAAAGTGTTTTCTAACAATTAGTCAGCAGACTAATGTATGTTGGAAATATTTTTACTGGTTATTTACAGCCTGCTGCGTTTCCAAAAATTACAGATGTCGCTCTTCTCGTGAATCAAAAAATAAATTTTTTGAATTGGTTGAAGTTCAGTTGTGATGATAAAGTATGGAGTACTCAGAAAGGCTAGTTAGCAACGACAATATCTTTTTTATGCGTGTATGCATTTTGTCCTTCATCGATATTATGGATCGTGACACCGATAGAACAACATTATCACTTTTAATACCTGATGATTCACAATTGTCTAAAAAAGGAAACAGTTGCTTGCAGAGAAACATTTTGAGAATTTTGAATGAAAGTCAGAAAAACCATCTTCTAAGTCTCCTTCGGATGTCTCATGATGCAAATAAGAGAAAAAAAGAGTGGTTATTGATAACTGGGTTATGAAAATCGAAAATTTATTTTGAACGAAAAAAGATAAGTGACGTTGTGTTATCAATTATCATGTTGAAGTATATCTCTTGAAAGAAGGAGCAGTTAACGATATAGTTTTAGAGCTACACCTGAATAACAGAATGGTATGTATGTTTCTATTGTATCGTTCTTTGTAAAATGAATACAACACGCAATAAAGAACTAAAACGCACACAATTGAAAATTGTAATATAATATAGAATAATCCAACTATTGGTAAAGAAAGAAATATGACATTTATCTATACTCTGGAGAATATTCATCAGTACAGTCGAACTGTCATGTTAATCAGTATCTACATAGTCCTCTTGAGATTATTTTCTTACATTTTTTTTTCTCCAAATTTGAGTCTTGTTCTATAGTAGAATTAATATTTAGTGCTTCTCCCTCAGTGCTTTGCAATCAGAAGATGAATCGCTATCGGCGCTCTGAAAGAGTGGGAAGGAAAGGAAGATTATTTGACAGCAATTTCTTTATTTTGATGAAACTCATCAGCAACAAGTACGTGTTATATATGTACACACATACATAAAGACAGACTGATGATCACACAAAATATTATCTTTTACTAATAGACAAGTGTTCTCACGCTAAATATCTAACTATATACATCTAAATTGTTTTATACAACACTAAATTATTTGTTAAACATTTAAATCAACGTTTTCGATGAGCTACTTGAGAAAAAATATAGTTGGTTGAAAGATGTAATGCCGAAATTATATCTTTAAATAAGTATCCAACATATTTTAAAAAAATCCCTCTTTCTACTTAAAAAATTGATTTTATTCGAGTTATCTATTCTCTTGTTCACAATATATTTATCAAATTGGTAGAAGATCTTACGAAATAGATAGAGAGACGAAAATGACACTTAAATTTTTCCTATTACATTTTTTATTTGCCATTGATGAAATAAAAAACAGCATATCTTCTAATAAGATATTATAGATATTTGTTTTCTGTCAACTATAGTTTGTTTGATTCCAAGAAGTTTAAATAAACCATATACCTCTGTATATTATTCATAGTACATCTATATAATTTTCTCTTCTATAACTTTGACGGAAACGATCAATTTCCTTCTATTTTGTTGTCAAATAATGAACATAGGTAAGAATATTATGAGGAAACGCTTGTCAATTTGATTTTAAAAAAAACGTTAAGAAAAACTTATTATAATTATGATAATCATTCTTCTTTTCATTACTACTGATCTCATGTCAAAAATTGTGTGAAGTTATTATATGGTTAGTTATATAGGAAATAAGACTAATAAACATACATGCATGTATGCATGGTTTATCATTTTCCATCTTATTTCCGAATTTTTTGATGAAGCACAACTTTCA